CTCAACTTCAAGGACAGCTTCCATTGGGAAAAAAAAAAATAGGGTGACAATCCATCACCAACATGTAATTCTCCTTCCTCGTCAGATTTCACCCGAGCTTGCTGACAGCCAAGGCTTCTGACAATAACTTGTAAAGTTTTTAACGTCTGCAACAAACATGAATATTTGCTTTTGTTACAAGCTAATACAATATTTCCTAAAAACCATGTCAGGCTCAGCTCAGAGGAATCCCCCCTACGTTTACAGTACACATTTTACAGTAGGAGCAGGGGGGTATTCAGGTGACGAGTATCATTCCAGAAAAGTCCATCGAACCTTGGATACTTCGCCTTGCAATTGTTTGACCAGTTGCCTGTTACGCAGATTACAAAGACTGTCCAACAACAGTGCTTTGATGCAGTTCTTTTTTCTTTCAAGGCCTGTGACCTTTGGTAGCCACAAGTATAAAACACTATTTTCATCGAGGGCTGTTTTCATCGAGCAGCAGATGAGGCGCCTCGTTTCTCCTTTATGGAGTTCAAGTGTTGTGTGACAAACCATGCAGCACCTGTCGATATTTGCCAATGCCAAACAGCATCGTGACCATGCAGGCCAGGGGAGTATGATGTCACCTGAAAGAAAAGGTACATTTCTCAATCTTCTTATTGCAATAACAGGGCAAAGACGAAAGCGTGCTTACTGATGTATTGATACCACAGCATGGAAACTCCTCACTCCCGAAACCAAATAGTGTTAATTCAAATACTACAGTAAAGGTGAAGGAACAGCACTCCTTCAACAACTTCTGATATCTAAAAAAAAGAAGCTAGGTCCGGATTAAAGCATACCTCCCCTCGATTTGTTAAGAAGACAACATCACCATGACTCCCCTTGCGATGCCTATGGCCATCACCTCTTGGGATGAGAATAGGGGTTTCCACCTCTAAAGAAGATACATCAGTCCACCAAAATTTCTGCCGAAATCTCCATGTTGGAATAAGTTGAGTGGTGAATGATGATGTCATATAGAAGCATTGAAAAGTTGCCCTCACACTGGCACATCAGAGGTTGCAACAGCCCAACATGGTTGCAACACTTTCATCGATCCACTAATGACAGTCTGCTCAGCTCCATTTTCCTCCAACAGCCTGAGGAGATAGAAATGTAAACTGTTACAATGAACACACATAAATCTAGCCAACCTTTCCCAATAAATGCCTTAAACAGGTCTTTGTTTTATCTGTGTATTTGAGTCTTCTGTTGTGTCAAGTTTTCTTGCATGAAAAAAGCCTTAAACTCACCCCCATACCTTGAATCTATAAACAAAAGAAAAGGTTTAACAAAAAGAGTTTTCAGATTGGCCATGGACATAAATGATGAATAGCACAAAACTAGATGGGATTTTGCAAGCTCATTTCCAATTACCAACCACAGCAAACTATATTGTTGGGGTCTGGGTCAATTGAGAAATGTTTTCATGGCACGGGAACAAAGCATTCCACAAAAAGCAAAAGATTTAGGGCATATCATATAATATGTATTTCAGAGAGCATATTTGGAGCATATATCATAACCCAAGAGACAATAGAAAATACACTCGTATGGTTTTGATTGCCTTAGATGAAAGAAACAATCGCATACCTGGACATGATCTAGGACTCCATCACCATTGATATCAGCATGAAGGCCACCTTCTTGAAGATGAAGCTGATGAAACCAATGAAATTCATCAAACCTGTTAGAACTGCTGGAACAAATAATATAATAAGCAGTTGAAATCATATCAGTTAAAGAGCACATTCAACTTTCACATTTACATGAACAAGCAGTGGGCCTCGAGGTTCTTCAAGATCAAATCTCTAAATGAAAAGGAGCACATATGCCTGACATGGTAGGTTTAACAGCAAGAAGACGACTGGCACATGATCAGTGTGCCAATTACCAGCTGAATTTCATTCTTAGCTATAAGATGTTCTTCCATATAAACTACATGATGGCACAATGCCATGTTTCCAACATTTACCTTACTGCCGGATGCCAAATGAACAGCTTCTATTCCTTCTTTTTGATGAGACACAACAACATTAGGAAGCCACCAAAGCTGAGTGTAGCTTGTTATGGTTGGAATATATAGGGATGGCTGCAGCAACAAAGTATAATAGACTAACATCATTTATCAAACACTGAATAGGTAAATTTGGAGGGTTGACTCATATATGAAGCAAGGCAAACTAAGTAGCAT